AATATTTACCGCGAAGAAAATAAATAAACCTTTCTCATGATGAGCGACGAGGTGCGCCCTTGGGGCAGTCACGATGGCGCTCCAAAAGAAAAGAAATTGAACACTTCAAAGACCAGTAAAAAGTGGGAAAGGAACCCGAGTGAATTGAAAGGAAACGGGTCAAAAGTGGATCAAATAATAACAATGCACCATTGATCAAGCAACCGTTCTAACATGTAGCATTGAAATCTTCAACTCAAAATCAAAGAGCTTTGTCCAATCAGCTGATGATAAAAAAAAAAATTGAAATTATTTTCTTGCTTTATTTTATATTTAATAATATATTTATTTATGAATTTTTACATTTTGATTTTAATTTAAAAAATAACTTGAAAATAAGTATCGCTGTAACTTTTGCCACTCACAAAAAGAAGCAAATTAAGCTGGAATGTCCTTGGTTTCTTTAACGAAATCAATTTATAAGGTGTTAATTCACATTTTTCGCAAGATGATGCTGAGGAGCGTTCTCACTTTTTATGACTTTGTTGTGGAGGTCGTCCTCTTGTACTTCATTATATCACGCAAACAAAATGTAATCAGCAGCCAGGGTGCTTTAAAGTTGATCATACGAAAATAGCAATAAATTTCCATCGTGTTTCGTTGAGCAGGAATTGGTTTAGCAAAGATTTTCATTAAATTTACATGCAGCATTTCTGGGCAATTTCGATGTGCTGCAAAATATTCTGTTTCCTTACTGCTCTCACTAATTCTCCGCAATCACCTCGGCCAAAATCAATTAGCATTTCTGAATTATGAACCACGCCAACTTCAGACTTCCTTGTTTTATTTTTAAAACATTGTCAGCGCAGCAATAAATGCCAAAACCATGCAAAGGCGTGAATAACGTATGGAGTTTTTGCACGCCATTAAGTAATTACAGCAGTCATTATTTAATTTAGAGTGCGCCACAAACAGGATGAAAAGCTCCTCTTTATACTCTGGTAGCCACGCCAAAAAAAAAATGGCAAAAGGGAATGTTTGTATGGTTTTCTCACATCCTTGTGCGCACTGCAATTAAAAGTTAATTAAACCCAAACTCAGAAGATGCAAAGCACAAAAGTTACCAACATTATAGATTTTGCAAAAAATATTTCCTAACCGGATTTTCAGCAATAGTTGTTATGATAACAATCCATCTCGTTTTTAGTTACGTTGGATTTTATTATACTCGTCGCATTAAATTTAACGACTCGCAATGAAATTTGCAAATTATCTATTTTCATTTGCGTCCTGGTCTTCTCGATTGCCAAACCCACTATTAGTTGAGCATCTGATGGTGTCACTTGTGAAAAATAACAAGTACCAAGCAAGTCTTAATGTACCGCGAAAAAGTGGCTCTCTTTCATTAAACCTGTCCTTTTTTGGGCAGCAAAGGTCATCGCAGCTTCATCGGGAGTGCAAAAGGCCTTTAATAAATCATTGATATTACTTATTGTAAACTACACAGGATGAAGTGAAACTTTTAAATTAATCACTTGAAAAGATTGAAATCTGCTATAAAAAAATAATTGCCCATTGAAAGCCAATCACCAAATCTAACCTAAAATTTCCCATATAATTTATCAGAATACGCGTCTCTGAAAAGTGCAAGTTACTTTTTGCTATTTGCAGACGCGAGTCGATTGGATTTTTTTTAGCTTTTGCAAATAACAGGGTCAAAATCGTACATCACTGTGTGCTCGCTCGCTCACATTTTATACCGTCTGTGAGAATCAGATTGCAACAATGGCAAAATAACAATCATTTTACATCATAAGTTGCGAGTACACATGAAGTGTGTGTGCGGATTACATCACCCTTTTGCATTCTCACTGCAGCTATAACAAAATGGGGTCGTCCGCAAAATTCAGCAAATGATGAAGAATTTCATTGAAAGCTCAAAACAATTTTGAGGAGAAAGCTCAGCACGTTTTTGAGGCATTTTAAAATTTTTTTGATGAAAATTAGTTCTTGAAAAAGATGTTGGTAGATGAGTAGTGATGATTGTCTGTCTGAAAAAAAAATCATTATTCAAGCAAGCCATAATCTAAGCTCCAGGTGGTCATCATTAGAAAGTCTAAATTGGTATAAATCAATACATCCACCCCGGCCCTGGAAATCTTAATAAAATTTAGGAACATAATAATTTACTTGGGAAAATATTACCTGAACCGCAGAGTTCACGAGCAACAAGATCACTAAATCAATCCAAAGCCCACGAATTCACCTCGCATTCCTCTTCCTTTCTACTGAAATTCCACTTTTTTGGAAGACTTTTACGTGTATTGTCTCACTGCCCCGTTAATCACTCACGGTTTTTTTTTATTTATGTGCTCCATTCGTCCGCAACGACCTCTACAAGATCAAGTTTACAATGAATCGGCTGCTCTCCAGACTGCAGCTCAATTTCCCGCCGGCTTTTCCCAGCCGATTACAAAAATTCCGTAGCAAGTCAATCTAATCCGACAAGTGCGGTGGCGACAATTAAAATTCTGATCAGGTCATTCAGCGGTGAGAGGTCACATTTTTTTTTCAGTTATTGTGCAGCTACTAATTATGTAAAAATTTTATCACGGTGACCTATAGACTTAAATGCCATTTTTAAAACGTGTACTTATTTTCCACTTTCGCGAAGTGAAGTTGATGCGCAAGACCAGCGTAATCAAGCCTCCAACTCTGTATTTATGGAGAGGTACTAACCTAGGCCAACCGCATAATATTGCATCCATTTGTGCGTGCACGCTTTCCTTTTTTGGCAATGCAATGAATAGTGCGTGTACAATCTTTAATTTATGCAATACGCATCAATTATGAGTGGCCAGATTGTCCTGGTGTGAAATATAAATTATTTCAGCAGTTGAAAATAAATAAAATAACTAAAATTTAAAATATTATTTATTTTTCAAATATTATAATTCAGATTTAATTATTTTGTTATGATGAAAGTAAAATTATTGTTAAAACAGAATATTTATGAAGGCTAATGCATCAAGCACAGGTCCGCTGGAACTCCAAATATCGAAATTTTGGCAAATAGTAATCCACTCATTGTTAATAAATTTTGGGTAGAGATTAGTACAATCAAGAAATATTTGATAAATATCTATTCTCAAGGTTTACAATTGTTGAATTTTTTTTTTAATTCATCAAAATTGCCAACGTGCATTATTAATTAAGACTGAACAAAGAAGTAAAATCTTATTTAAATTTTATGAAATTTAGGTTATAATAATTATTTATGTTTTACGATTTCACCGCAAATGTATTTTATGGCCAGGTGAATTTTACATCTAGTTTTAATGCGATTCATATCACCTGCAACTAAAAAATGTTCTAATTCGTTGCCTTGATATTTGAAAATTAAGCGGAAAGAAAGTGCTCTAGGAAGGAAATTGCATCCATATTTATTACTTTAGAAGAGTTTCTAGTCCATAAAGCGCCGCGAGGATTCTGAAAACACCTTCCTCCCTGCATTCATTTTCTATTATTTTGCCGCTATAACACATTCGCACGTTGAATTTCATTCGTGACGTCAAATAATGTAAATTTAATGAGAAAAGGAAGGAAGTAGGAATTTATAATTTTAAAAAATAATGCAAAAAGACTATTGTTCTTACAAACAGTACCGTGTTTTTAAGTGAAGGACTTAGGGCCAGATAAATTTGAAACAACCTTGGCTTAAGTGTGCTGTTGACGTCAGGTGGCGATCGCATTTTTGCCAATTTAAAATTGTTCAAGAGTTGCCCAACCGAGCGAGTTTTGATTTTCATCGGAACGCGTCCAAAGCCGTTAATTTCAAATGCATCTCACAACCAGTGAAGAAATTCGATTTCTACACCTAGCGTCCAAGTCCAACCTCGACACAATGGCACCTGTTGAGTGCGATACTCAGACAAAGGGGAATTTCTTGTCGCGACAAACGGCACTGCCATTGTTAAGAGGTGACGCACTGCTCCGTTGCATTTCTACTTTTCTGATGCGAACCAAATCATCATGATAGGACGATAGTGATCTAGAGATGAATGAACTTGATTCTGAGGCAACTGGCGCAGAACTATGTAGTATAATTTTTTTATGTCTATTCATTTTTAATAAGGAAAATTCTAGATTTTTAGTTAAAAGTGAAAAGTGAGAAGCTAAGGTTTTTTATTTTAGCAATTTTGTAGCAAGGTCTACGTCATGTTAACCAAAATTTTATTTTCATAGGCGTACCTTGCAGTGGAATTCGTAAGAATTTATAAAATTTAAATAAATAGTACAATAATTAAATTTTTACAACAAAGCAAAAGCTCAAGTTCTTCCCTTCCAATTTTGATTCAATCTAAAAGTGAATTTATTATTGCAACTTTGAAAAGCACAATGACGATTCATAATCAATTTTAACGTTTTATTCCCTATGCGTAAAAATTTTAGTAATCTTTATTGTAAGATTCTGGAGGTCTCGTTGTTAAAGAGACATTAATTTCCACACAATTTTGCCTCAGACTCGTGAAAAATTTTAGCAAAATTTATTGCTAAAATTGCACAGTTAACTCATCACTGTCTTTGCAAATCTCACAATTATTTTGATTTAAATTATTTTCTACATTAAAAAAAATCTATATATTTTTACTGCAGGTAAATCAAGTAATTATAATGTTACAATAATATTATGTATCAGGAATTTTTTTCCCTTATATTTTCAAGTAATATATTATTTTGAAAAGCCGGGCACCAATACCGTAGAATAATCGATGACATAATTGCGGCCGGCTTCATATAGCGGCAAAAGAACGCCTTACTTTAAAGGCGAAAATCTCCTGGCGAAACGAGAAGTGCACATTTTTTGTTTGTGCTCCAGCAGCAGAGACGCGCGAGAGTCCTTCTCCTGAAAAATCTGATTAATTCAGCAGCTCGGCTCGACGAATCCCTTCCCGAGCAATGCATTTTACCTCCACTACACTCGCATATAGATCTTCAGCGGTGGCGTGGGTAACGGGTTAAATTTTTTATATTCCTCAACCCAAAGTAGGCCGCTTTATAAAGACCCACGAGACCGAGAGAGGGGCATCATTTCAGCAGTGTGTTTGACAAGGATCACTTCGTCTTCAAAGTACAAACAGAAAGGTAAGTCCAAACTTTTATTTTCCATCACTTGTTTGGCAACATTTTGAGGCTTTTCGCTGCGAACCGAAGATTGGTTTATGAGAGAGATCCGTGTAACGTCTCTTGCTCTTACATTATTTGCGGTCGATTTCGCTTTCAGTCGCGACTCATGGGAATTCAAAACCAATAATTCTCACTGTTTACTCACATGCCCATGTGTGCATCGGTCTCTATATGTACATGTTACTTTTTTTATCAATTTTATTTTCGTCAATCAAACTATGCAAAAAAATAAAATTATTTTATCATAATTTATTTATTCTTAATTTTTTTATCGCCTCAAATTAATTAGAATTTTCTTTCTTTTTTTGTAAAATAAAGTTCATTGAGGTGCAGCGACGTCATTCATTAAAACGGATCTCTAAAGCCGGCTAATCGAACGGCATTTTAATCTGTGAGGCTTGTTTGCCTGTTCACCCAAGCGTGCCCAAAAAACCAACCAACGCGCATTTTTATACCTGACACATAAAATATTTTTCTAGACCACTTCGGATTCATTCAGTGGAAATAATTATTGTCGCGCCGCATCTTCATCTCGCCGTTAATGTCACCAATTAAAACGCCGTTCCCAACCAATCAACCAGATGTCTCGGTCGGTTTTCTCAAAACGATCTTTCTCGAATCGGTGCAATTACTCAGCTCATTACTCTGCAATTACCAAGGTCTGATGCATCCTCTGCGTTAGTTGGCGGTGAAAGTTGGAAACAAAAGCATTCAAAGTCAAGATTGAATCACCATTCATCGGTGCAATTATGCAAAGATATATCAATCTCTAATTGTTTTGCGCGAGAGTGCGATAATGGACAATGAATTCGAAGGCTATTATTATGGTGGAAGAGAAAAGAGGGGCACGGGATCAATGTGTCGTCTGCGGGGAAAAAACAAAGGATTGCCTTGTAGGGCTCGCCAGACGACGCAAATCAGGATATCTGTCCATCACTCTTTCTAACAAGGTTACACTCTTATTCAATTAAAAGATCCGTTTGCTTATAAAAAAAAAACACGTCCTGAAGAGCAAAGAAAAATCTTGGATGCTTCGTGTTTAAAGATAAATTTCGTTTTATCCAAAAATTTCCGCGTGGGTAAAAACGCGCGTCTCAGGTGTGGCCGCGCTGCTGCACCTGCGAGACTCACTAACTCTCGCAGCTTCCTCGGATGAGTCCCGTTTGACCCAACAATGTGCCACTAACCCATGGACAGAGTTGTTTCTTGTATTCTATACAGTAACGGGACCGCAGTTCAAGGTTGGACTCTCTTCACTTCTTAATGGCCGCCACGAAAACTTTTTCCCTCTCGCAGGGGGCCAACTATTTTTGCTCTAAAAATGTCGCCAGACCTGTTCGGGTTATTGTTCGCATTTTATTGCGCCACGATGAGATCGATACCGGCGGCAACGGCACCGGACGACAAAGTTTCACTGTCTGTCACTTCATTTCAGTCATTTCAGTGAATTGCCCTGCAGGTGACAGTGACGCAATTGCGATTTTCAATTCTAGCAAACTGCTTTTATGAGATAGATTTCTCGCAAGTTAATATAGTCGCGCAGATATATTTAAAAAAAGCATTAAAATTTCAAAATTAGTTGCTTATAATTTGCAAAATTCTACCAGTTTAAAGATTGACTTTTATAGTTATTTTTATATTTATATTGAATTTTTTCTTTGCGAAAAATTTAAAAAACAATTTACAATTTATTGGTTTTTTTTATTTTTATAATGCTGATTGAAAATCATATAATTTTCAATAAAGACTTTTTTACTTTGCAATGTCCTTTACGGCTAAAATTGTCTTGAAGTTCAGAAAATATTCAGAAAATATATGTATGTAGAAATGCAACATGCCCGCGTATAACAATGATATTATTGTGCTTTATTTATTTCAACATAAAATGATCTTTTGTCCACTTTTGTCATTGCAGAATTTTATGCACAATTATTTCAAAGTGCATCACAATTTAATATGACGAAATCAGTACAACCTATATTTTCATGGAGCAATCCAATGTGCAAACCTATTCTTTTGAAAATATTACACTGTGCGTCTACTTTATTATTTGTTTATTCGCTGTAAATTAAAATATTAAATATAAAATTTTCCAACATTTTTAAACTTCTTTTAAAAATATTTTAAAATATATTTATATTTTCTTTGTTTCCTAGTCATCTGTTTGTTTTCCATTTCATTGAGATACAGTCACTGGGAATTGGCTGAAAATACATTAATGAAAACACTTTTTTTAGCATAATTAAAGCCATCATTTTTATAATTTACTTCCGTAATTAAGTTAAGTTTTTTAAATGCCTAACTATTAATGGAAAAATAACACAATTGAAATGCAATTTTTTTTAATTACGTCCAATCTTTTATTTATTTATTTTTTTTAGAGGAGTGCACACTTGTTGTTTAAGAATTAAGAAATCGTAGTTAGCTGTACGCCTGCCGCGGAATAATGAATGAGGAGGCCGTCGCACTCGTCAATTAATGAAATTGTCTCTCGCGCGCGTCTCTCGAGACAATCGAATTAACTTCTGAGAAATTACCGGTCGCGCCTCTTTGATGTGTCACGCGGCACACACGCAGCTCAAAATGCATTGTGATGCGCAACCATTGTTAGCCTACTTGCGTTCGAAATAATTTTCTCCGCGACCAATTTGGGCAGTGTAACTTCCGCAGGCAAACATTTGCTTTTCGAGTCGAGTTCAAAAACAGCTTTGTTCTTTGCATACCTAATTGCGTGGGCAAACACACTCCAGCTAGACAGAGGATGAGCAAAGGAATTTAGAACCTTCTTCTGTTTCAAAACTTTCTATTAGAGGAAAAATATTACTCCGAAGGGCTTGTTTTATTTATTCCAATAAAGTTCCCCACTTTCCAGGCGAATCTTTTAAAGTATTTTTAAATATTTCTCGTCAGTGTTTTTATGCAAATTTTTGCTCGTGGCACTAAAACTGTAAAACGTAAAACGTCCGACGCATTTTTGGGAGGAGGCGAGCGGATGACAAAAATGACACAAAATATGCAAATGTCGCCACAGGAAAACAGTTAGAAAGTTGTTCAAACATGGACTTTGCGTCTTGGGTGATGCACACTCTAATTGGCACGCACCCAAAATTGCGTGCAGCCGAATGAATTAAAATTCAGCCGGACATTATCCTCTCGTAATTATAACGTCGTGCCGGAGAAATTTACAGTTCCTAGACGTGGGTCGTCTGAAAAATTCCTTAGCCGCGCGTGTTGTGTACATTATTATTATTTACGGTCGACCGCAAAATCCGAGAGAAAATGCGCGAAAAGCCTCAAGATCTAATGGTCGATCTTCCCGCTAATCTTTCACGCTGATCTCTAATGGTTTTCCCTATTTCTCCAGGCATCATGCTTCGTGAGTGCGCCCTGGTGCTCATGCTGGTGGCTGTGACCCTCGCCCAGAGGAGGCTAGCCCTGCCAGACGCTCGCTCTTGCTCCAACCGTAAGTTTTCGATTTTAAAATTCATATTTTTAATAGAAAATGTAGAGCATTAATTTAATAAAATAAATAACTTATTTAATAATTATGAAATTAATTTTTTAATGTTATTCAAATGTCTTTTAACTAAAAATGAATTTCAAAATTTCAGGAGTACGACACACAACTTTCAGAGACTCACGTGGAGTTTCGCACTCGTACTTCTTCAGCTGGGAGCACGGCCCGACCCGCAACCTCGAGGTTGACTGGCTCGATGCCCGCAACATCTGCCGCCGCCACTGTATGGATGCTGTGTCCCTGGAAACTCCTCAGGAGAACGAATTCATCAAGCAGCGCATTGCCCGCGGTGGTGTCAAGTAAGTTATTTTCGGATTTTGCTAACTTACCAAAACAAAATTAATTTCAGATCCACTTTAATATAATTGAAATAATTTTACTCTTGATAATTATATTTTCAATGATTTTTTTTATATAACAATTAATTTTCTTTCTCAAAACCTAATTTTCTTACACAATTTCAATTTAAAAAATTGACTTAAATTTTATTTTAATTCAATTCTAATAATCAGGTATATCTGGACCTCTGGCCGCAAGTGCAACTTCAACGGCTGCGACCGTCCCGATTTGCAGCCCACAAACGTCAACGGCTGGTTCTGGTCCGGTTCTGGCGCCAAGATTGGACCCACCAACCAGCGCAACTCCGGCGACTGGTCGCCCACTGGCGGATTCAACCAGGCCCAGCCTGACAACCGCGAGTCGGCCCAGGGCAACGACGAGTCCTGCTTGTCCATCCTGAACAACTTCTACAACGACGGTCTCAAGTGGCACGACGTTGCCTGCCACCACCTGAAGCCTTTCGTCTGCGAGGACTCCGAGGAGCTGCTCAACTTCGTCTCCTCCCGCAACCCCGGCATCCGTCTGTAAATCTTAGCTTCTCTCCGTAAAAAGGGAATTATTTATTGTACTCTTGTTGAATGTATATCAAAACAACTGAGGAGGCTCCTGACACTCCACAAAAACGTGTGACATTTCTACGAAAATGACGTCTGTGTACAATTTTTTTGAAATCACTTTTAAGCGCCAAATTTGTTAGACTTTTTAGCGATGAAAACTGCTCAAGTGAGTGCTGTTGGGCATTCATTCAGAGGATAATAATATTAATAATATTTGACAAATAATGACAAAAAGACATTTACCTATTTTGTAGTTAATAAAGAAAGTGATTCAAAATTGTGTAAAATTTGTTTGGTATTATTTTTTTAAAAATACGTCAACGTTATCTAAAGTACATTACTTTTTTATTGCCAGAGTTAAAAATTATCGCTGCGCAGTTGAAATAATTTATTGATCATGAGAGCAGAGTAGAAGACAGGATAGCTAACGTGGCGAACACACTCTTGAGTTCCTTTATGAATCATACATTAAAATACATTTATAATGGTACTGGTTGACTATAAGCTAATTTTAATTAAATTACATAACAAAATAATCAGGCATTCTAAACTTATAACTTTGGGAGTTGTTTGGAAACTTTCATAATTGTTACGCTCCATTACGCTCTATGCAGGGTTCAAAATTACCAATTTTAGAATCTAAAAATAATTAAAACAGATAAATTACAAGCTATAATTTCTATACTTAAATTATTTAATTAAAATGCGGCAGCTGATCAAAGTTATTGGCATAGTAACTTTTATGAACACAGATTAAAGACTTAAAATGCTCCAAACAGTTTTGCAGAGTTCCTTAGGAGCCACCATTTAAATTTTCCAAACTGTTAAACAGCTCTTTTTGAGAAGATATCACGTGACCCAATTTTAGCCCCTGAAATCATCGTTGTTGCCCCTCCTATTGCTCTGCGGCCGCCGTCTGCGCGTTGGCTGAGGCGCTTCAAACGCTCGGAAGTCGGGTTGCGCTCTGTTCACTGGTGGCAATTGTACAGGTGGTGATCGGTTTGGTGTCTTCCTCAAACACACGACGCAGCGACTCACGCGTTTAGTCAAATCAGCTGCCTTCAGAGTTTGTGGTCGGGGTCTGAAAAAATAATTCTCATAAATATATCCCTGATAAATATGCAAAGCACAGGAATAGGAAAATAAATACAAAAAAATTATTTATTAAAAATAAGCCAATCAATGCTACTATTTTTCTATTTTTTGAAATATCTATGCGTAATGCATACCTTCTAAACATGTCCATGTCATCCAGAGTGGCCAACCAGTAGGAATAGGCAGTGGAATAATAATTGCATCGACCAATGCCTTGGCACTCAATGAAAGGAGCTGCTCGGAATTCCTCCAAACATGAGCCAGGAGAGACCAAAGACTGGCCACTGCCCTCTGCTCCAGAGTCAGTGTGCTAAAATAAATCATAAATATTTCAATAAAAATTTAAAATTTAACTAAAAGAAAATGCTTGCCATTAGGAAGCTGTAGCCCATCCACATTTCTTCCCAGCCGTTGGGACAGCTTGGGAGAACCATTGTTTGAGAGTGGACGGCCAACACCCTGGTTGGTGCTTCGCAAACGGAACATCTGGAAAAAATTTATTTTTAATCAGTATTATTTTTATTATTTTTTGACTTATTTGAAGCAAAATTTAATTAGCTAGAACCTTGAAATGTATTTCTTGACATTAGGAGCCTGAATGGGCGCCATAGTCATGGGCATCGGCTCGGAGGTACTCAACCAGTACGAGTAGTCCGACCGGCTAGCATAGTCACAGACGTTGTTCAAATTGCAGAATAGATACGGCATGGTTGAGAATCGACGCAGGCAACTGCCCGGGGCACCTAACGAGACAAAATAAATCAAAATTGATTGAAACGCATTTAAATGGTTGTGTGTATGCAACCGGCATATCCGGTAGATATGGCAGTTTGCATAAATTTTTAACATGAAAACGTACCGAGATCCTGTCCATGCGCTTTCGCGTTTCCTGTGAGGTGGAGTAGTGAATATCCGTCCCAGAGACGAACCGTGCCGGTGGGACAGGCGGGCACCAGCACTGACTGCGAGTGCCGCGTGAAAAAGAAGCCCCTGTTTTTCGGGCCGGCGGCATTAGGTGCAGGAGGACCGGGAATTCCGGGCAGACCTAATATAATTATATAAATTTTTAATTTTCCTCATCAGTAAAAGAGTCTTATCAAATAAATAATTAAATATATAGTTAATATAAAATGACTAAATAATAAAAAAATAATTCAAAATATTAATTTACCAGGTTTGCCGTCATAACCAGGGATTCCGTCTCTCGCCCTGTCTCCTGGTCGGCCTCTTGGGCCCTCCAGGCCAGGCAGACCGGGCACACCGTCAATTCCCATTTCCCCTCTCATGCCTGGAAATCCAGATAGCCCGTTTTCACCGGGATATCCCCTCGGACCTTTCATTCCCGGCAACCCTCGATCGCCCTGATCGCCTGGTGGATTTGGCTGGTAAAAATCTTCCGGAATGATGGCAGGCTCTCCTGGTGGGCCCTCTTCACCCTGAGATACACGTTGTTGCAAACTTAGCCTTTTTTACACTCTAAGAAATTATCATACTGCTTACCATATCACCCCTTACACCAGGGAAGCCTTGCACACCGGGTTCGCCGTCGTCGCCCCTTCCACCTTGAAAACCTTGCAACCCAAATGTACCGTTTCGACCTGGGGTACCTCGCTCTCCCTTTCGGCCGTTGTAACCGTCTCGGCCTGGATAGCCAACGTCACCCGTCATGCCCTTCAAGCTGCTCAGAAAAGAGTGTGAAATTTTAATTTAAAAAAAATTAGGTTTCCCAAACCCAAAATCAGCTTGGCCAGGTTCTCCTCGTGGACCCTTGATGCCGGGGAAACCAGGGCTTCCTAAAATTATGAAAAATCTTGAATGCAGAGAACTGCCAAATATCAAAATAAAAATAAACTTACCATCAATTCCAGGGGAGCCTCCGCGGCCGTCGTATCCTGGTAACCCGGGTAGGCCTACGTCACCGATTATTCCTTTGATACCCTGAAACAAATTAATATATTATGGAGATTTAGAAAAACTTTAAAATCACAAAATACAAATTAAAGTTCATTGGAAAGTATTGTTATTTATCATTTTTAACTCTCATTTCATGAAAATATCATTGTCTAAAATTCATGAAAGACCAAACATTTCTAACTTTTAATTTTTTCCATCTATGCCTCTGAATATTAAATTGTTTATTTTTTATTTTTTATCACATTTTTTTACAGAAATTTCTACCTTTTCGCTTTATTTTATCTCATTTAGCTTTCAGGTTAATAAAACTTTTATCCCACGCTCATTATGTAAATATAGTTCAAGGGCCCGTCTTTGGATGTGTTTGTACTGTCATTGCCGTTGAACTCATTATTCTTTCATCACTCCCTGTGCTGACAAAGGCAAACAAATTTGGCCCAGTTTTGCTTCACTAAACGCTCGATATGAAGTTTCGCATTCAGCAAAGCTTATGTGCTCTTGTATATGATATATTTATTTTTCTAGTAAAAACTCCCACGATTTATATATTCAACCTCCCGCCGGCATTGCATCCAATAATTCTGATTTGGCTGTGCCACTCTGCGGCATCTCGAGCCCTTTGTGTCGTCATTGCATCACACATTAGCCGCACGAACGAAGAAAGGCCGGGCCGATTGCACGCGGGCACCATCGTTCACCGGGTCGCACGCGCACGCTCTCCCTTGTTCGTGTTTACGGTTGTTTCCCTGACAACAAACTGCATGTCCTGGCCGATTCAGTGTTATTTCGGAGGCCAAACGAGCAAGCAGCCGGACAAGTGTATTTCGATCAAATCTAATACGGAACTGAAAAGTGCGCAAACGATAATAAACGCAACCAGTGACACACATTTTTCGTAAAGTCAGTGCTGAATTTTAACTTTGACAGAGGACTTGGTTCAAAAGTGCTCCTATTGATATGTAAATATTTTAATATTAACAACACTTTTACAGTTAAAAAAATTGTCATTATTTTTTACATTTCTTAAGAAACTTTGATGTGTGAGTGTTAAATACGAACAAACATTTACAAAAAGTCGTGCCCCCAGCCGTTCCACCTGCCTCCGATTGGCCTTCCGAGCCGCCAGCCAAGCTCCAAACCAGGCGTGCTCAGCAAAAGCGCCCCTGAATGTTTCTCCACGCTTGATCTTATGAGGGAACATCAGTCCGTCTCGCCGCCCTGCTGGCTGCTGTCCAAAATCTTCCGCAGGCGGGACGCCCGCCTCGGAAGCCCCCCTGATTTGACGGCCCCCGTCCCCCCACGTGCGGCTGACCTTTCGCCTTACTCCCCGTTGCCGGCAATCAGCAGCCGCAGAGAAAGTGCCTCGAGCACCAAACAGGAAAGTGAGGATCCTGCGGAGGAAGCAGCATCATCCGAGGTACCTACTGAACCGCATCCGACACTTTTGCGGCAGAAAACTTACATCGTGACCGACCCTGTAATTGTAAAAGGTCCGGCGAAGAAAACCTTGAAAAGACGCAAGTTGGACAAGAGCAAGGCTTGGGGTGGTTTGAAGCAGGAGCAGAACTTGCAATTAGGTGTGGCTAAAGGGGGCATGTTTTTTGTGGTTGGTGCTGAGGACAATGAAAATAACACGTCGTGAAAGAAAGACGAGACAAATTGTGTTGAACTGATTTGTGATCATCCACGGAAAAGCAAGAGAGACTGCGATTTGAATTTAAACGTTGTGATATTGTTAAGATTATAGAATGTGTTTTGTTGCGCAAAATATTGTCACTGATACGTTGATAATTACTTCCTAATTGCTCGAGTCAATGACCTGCGCGCGACGGCTGAATAAGGGAAAGTCATTTGCCCGCTGGGTCACTGGGTGAATGAATTTATCACGCCGCCCAATCAAACGCTAGAATTGGTGAATTCACGTATTTGTACAATTTTGAAATAAAATTTTTGTCTTCATATTATCTCATTTTTCTTTTATGAAAAAAGGTTAAATTTTGCTTCAAAATAATTTAAATTTGCATTCAGCTTTTATCACTTATTCGAAATTGCTCACACAGGCTGCTTTTCAAAGCTCTACAGTCTACTTAAATAGCAAAACTTATTAGTCGAGATATTGATTTGCAATTTTCTTCTTTTCCCCTGTGTGCCCTTCGCGTGATCAATCAGCAAAAAATAAGCCGATATCGTGCATGTTATGCAAAATAAAGCTAAAAAATAACTCACAGTAAGAGATAATCCGTTTGGCCCTTGACGACCTGGGGGACCATCGGCACCATAATCTCCGGGGCTTCCCTTCTGACCAACACGACCTGGTCGGCCTGGGAACCCGTCAAAACCAGGTTCACCCTGTTCACCTCTTTCAACGTCTCTTGGCTCCATACCTAATAATATTTAAGTAAATTTAATATTAAGAAAAATTTGAAATTAAGGCGTTAGAGAACAAGTTTATCAAAATCTTTCTTGTCACTTGACGCATTAAATTTTTTAAATGCTCTATCCTTTTGATCTGCTTTATTTGATTAAATTCAGGTTACATATTTATTTGAATTGGAAAAAATTATTTCATCAATCAAGCTGTACTTATGGTCAATTTGAGAATATGAATAGTTTTTAAGGCATTAGAGAGCAATAAATCGTAAAGTATTCTCATTGGTAAGAAACCCTGCTTTCCCTTAAATTAAACATAAAAAGGATTTAACGTACCTGGAAGGCCTGGAGCTCCTGTCATGCCTTTGCCTCCCTTAACACCGATAACACCAGGGAGACCCGTGACGCCAGCGAAACCAGGACTTCCTTGTGGACCCTGAATCATTGAAAACTTTAATTAGAGATGACAATTCAGATTTTTAACATACCATAGCTCCAGGGAAACCCATTCGGCCGGGCTCCCCCCTTTCACCCTTATTTCCCAGCGGACCGTTGAGACCCGTTTCTCCAGGTTCACCCTTTGACCCTTCAGTGTACGGTGTAATGCCTGGTTCTCCGACAAAGCCTTTAGGACCTCTTGAACCCTGCACACCAGTTAGGCCCTCGGGACCGCTGTTGCCTTTCATTCCTGTACGAAAATAAATTTAACTTAAAAATAAAATTATTATTTTAGGATTTTAGGACAAATTTTGATCTAAATGATTGGATACCTCAATCCGCCAGAATTTTTATTATGATATTTATATTTAAACAAATCATGTTAATTCGAATATTAATTAAGACTAGGGTAAATATTTCCAGTAAATTGATAGAATGAACATGTTTTTTTTTATGTATGTTTCTCAAATAAATATTAAAAAATGATTACCTGGTCGACCGAATATTCCTGGGTCTCCTTCCATTCCAACTTCCCCTTTAAATCCGTCAGGGCCTCTTGGACCAATAAGACCCTGTTCTCCCTTTCGGCCATCTTTACCCCGAGTTCCCGAATAACCGTCGTAGCCCTGCAGGCCTCCATCTCCCTTCAAACCTTTGATGCCGTTAAACCCGGGTTCACCATTTTCTCCCTATTAAGGATATTCGATTGAGAACACAATGCTCGTCCTGAAATACTGATACCATACCTTTAAGCCATACAGGCCTATTAGCCCAGGGATTCCAGCATCTCCGCGTTGACCTTTAGGGCCTTCGTCTGCATTCAGATTTATTCCGTCGTCTCCTCGTTCTCCCTTTAGGCCATCCAGTCCGTCGATACCTGAGTAGCCCCTGGGACCCGTTTCACCAGGGTCTCCAGACATTCCCTTTGGTCCACTAAAAGAATCATCTCCAGGTGGACCGGGTTCACCAGGAATTCCAGTTTCACCAGCCATGCCCTAAAATATTTTATTTTTAAAAACATTACTTTGGAAAAAAATTTATTAAAACTGTAGCCTACCCCAAATTACAACAATTAATAAATAATAACTATTTTTAATTATGTATCAGTCATCATAAGAAAGGAGGAATAAAACATATTTGAATTAGGTTGACTGAGGAAGGCATTTTCCAATAGATATTAATTTATTTAAAATTTTTATTAAGTTTAACTCAATTAAATAAACATTATTTCTCTGCGTTAGTTTTGAATTGTTTTTGAAAATTCACGCAAATTTATTTTCCCCTATTCACACGAGGAATTTTGAAGAGAAAAATGTAAAGTAAAATCACTTTACCTTAAAACCAGGCATTCCAAACTGTCCGTCACGACCTTTCCGACCATCGTCACCCACAAATCCCTTTGGACCTGGTAAACCTGGTCGGCCTGGTTCTCCAGGTCTTCCATCGATACCTTTGAGATTCATATTTTTAATTATTTTAGCACATAAGACGCAACAGAAATGTAAGTCTAAATTTGGATACAAAAAGCTGTATGTTTATAAACTCTTTTTTTTCATTTTTATTCTTCCACTAATTATTTTGCCTCTAGCTTTGACCCCAGTGCAAATTATAATAAATCCTAAATTAGGGAACGTTTGTACACCGGAATATTATACAATTTCAAAATATTTTTCCTCACCTGGGTAACCGTTGTCACCCCTGTCGCCAATAGTTCCTGGTCTCCCGTCAAATGCATTGGTACCATTAAATCCTGGTAACCCAAATTCTCCGGGTTCACCATTGGGACCAGCTGGCCCTGGTCGTCCAGCGTCTCCTTTTACACCTTTGATACCCATCGAGCCATTCATCCCGTCATAACCTATTTTGTTTTTAAACAAACAAGTTAAATTTTTTGCCAAAATAATGTTAATATCCGTGGGAAGAGTGAAGGATGAGAGAGGGAAAAACATTTTTGTATTTAAAACTTCACAAATCTTAATTAATTTATTGTTATATTATATTTGACAGCATTTTAAAAGTTCTTTGCTAGCGCTTAGTGCAATTGATTTAGAACAAAATTATAAAAGACTTACCCCGGAGACCGAATGAGCCAAATACACCACTTAAGCCTTTTTTCCCAGGCAGCCCAGGCCTGCCCTCAGGACCAGCTCTTGCTTCTCCCCTTTCTCCTTTCCTGCCCTTCAGTGAAATTAAATTTAATTTCTACAGCTTATAATTGATAGTGATTGTTTTTTAGCTTCAGAAAATATAAGCAGACCAAAGTAAAAAGAAGGAATAAAAAAAAATTGGGCATTTTCTTATTTAATTTTATAATTGATGGGCCGGCGTTTTGTATGCTATCAAAAATTTAATTTTTTTTTTGCTCAAATGGTGTTAAAAATGCATTCAATTTAGTAATTTTATTTCTTACTCTAAGACCATAGATCCCGGCTGAACCAGGCGCACCCTTACTGCCTTTCTCACCAGTGTACCCTAATGACCCAGGTCGTCCGTCAATACCATCAAAACCAGGGTTACCGTCCATTCCTCTAGGACCAGGTCGCCTAAAACAAACAAAACGAGTTTATTCAAGTTGATTTTAAACATGCTATTACGTTTAAGTTCATTGTCAATTCCAATAAGATACAAAATCATTTTAAGATACATTCCACTTTTAGTTATTTAAAATAATTTTTAAATGTGTCGTTTTATTTTAAATATGCATCAATTCCATGCATAGATTAGAACACACTGGTAAATAAATAATTTTTAACTGCTCCATTATTTTACAGTAATTTCTTGAATTTAGGGATGCAGAAATTATCAAAATTTATTACCCTGGCAGGCCTCTTTCGCCCTCCAAAATTGACAATCCTAGGTCACCACGGTCACCTTTTGGTCCAGAAACGCCCTAAAGAGCATTATTTGATAATTAATGTTTTGGCAAAATAATGCCGTTGTTACTTACTGGGATTCCAGGCCGACCATCTCGGCCAGGAGAACCACTTGGACCCTTAGGGCCTTCATCTCCTGTTTCACCTTGGTGGCCTTGGAAACCACTCTCACCCTGTTTTGTTGGCCCAGGCAGCCCCTTCAGGCCGGGCATTCCTTCAAATCCAACTTCGCCTTTTTCACCCTTTGGCCCTTGAAATCCCCGTGGTCCTGCGCAGCGTTATTTGCATTACATTAATTTACCTTCTGATTATTTTTTACGTAATACCATAAGGTCCTGTCCGCCCTTTTTCTCCTGGTTCTCCCAGTACATCGAAAATAAAGTTGGGAACTGATCCCATTTCACCCTGTGGTCCTTGATCACCTCGTGGCCCCTTTGAACCCCTAGAAATTTAAATATTATGGTATAAGTGGAATATTTCGAATACTCTCATTGCTAGTATTATTTCATTTTTTCCAAATATATTCAATAAAATCAGTTAAATTTTTTCTCATATTTTCAGGGCATTCTGATTTTGCCCATCTATCAGTCCAATCGCATGGCTGGTGAGGTTTGCGCTCACAGTAATATCGACTAACTTAAAAAGTTAAAATCAATCAATTTAAGTTGCTACGAGTTATTAATTTAAAAAATCATGTTTTATTGTTTCCGAGTATTTAAAAAAATTCTAAAACCAATTTATCCCCTCCCCGCTTTTAATAAGTTTATTAAATAATAGAAACTATTTCCAGTTTTTATTATGATTGTAAAGAACAGACTGAAAACCAATTTGTAGTTTGTTCCAATTAATATCAGGCTGATATAAAGTCATACTTATCACCGGGATTTCCTTGGGGACCCACAAGTTCATAGACAAGTCTGTTGTCAGCTTCTCCTTTTTCTCCATTCAAACCGTCAAAACCAGGTCTGCCGTCTCTTCCTGGAATGCCAGCTTCACCGAAAATTCCCTGTTAAAAATAAATTACTTAAACTGTGAATTTTTTAATAATACAATAGATTTGAGGCTGCTGAGAACTATGCATGCATATTATTGTGGGAAAATAGTTTAGGAACAGATTATTAGTCTGCAGAAGCAGCATGATGTAAATTACAGCGTGTATAATTATTTTACTGGCGGTAAGTTGAGCGCCTATGGTGTTTTGAAAAAATCTTCTCTTAACTTATTAAATGCATTTTTTAAGTAATTGTGTGTGTAAATATGATAAAAAAAATTAACAAAACCTTTTCTCCTCTCGCGCCTAGTAAGCCATTTAATCCAGGGTACCCGTCATCACCCCTATCACCTGGTTCTCCTTGGACACCTATTTATTTGTTTTCCCGTAGAGTGATGACTTGAAACTGCGTAATAATAATTACCAGGAAGGCCTCTATATCCCTGGTCCCCAGTTTCAGCAACTCTTAAACTTGAGCGCAGATCAATTACTTGTCCATCCAGACCTGTTGGGCCAGGGTCGCCAGGCTCACCTTTTATTCATTCAAATCATGATGTTAATAAAAGTTTAAATATATAAATTTTTATTTAAATATGCACCTCTTTGACCATCAGTCCCTACAGAACCAGGCATCCCTTTGAGCCCTACCAATCCTTTTGGCCCCTTCGGTCCTCGCGGTCCGGGTAAACCAGATTTTCTGAAATCATATTATTTAAAACCTATTAAATACAAAAATACTATGTCACTATTTTACAATCCAATCGATTTTTAAATTTTAGTGCAGAGCCATATTTAACTTCAAAATTGTGTTGGTCAGAATTTTCATTGATCTGACTTGGAAACGACCAAGACAAATGATATCAGGATTTTCAGAGTGCTTATAATTGAAATAGCAGTGAAGATTTAAGTGATATATATTTTAAGTGAAAAAAAAAACAGTTGCAATAAGAAAAAAATCAAAATCATTACCCAGGGTAACCATGAAGTCCTGATCGTCCGGGGTCGCCAAGGTCACCTTTCACTCCATCTCGCCCTAAAGTTCAAATCAAATCTCTAAAAAAACTATTGTGCTAATGGAATAAAAATATTTTAAATTTTGATCTACTTCGGTGCGAATTGAATTAAGCTTCGTTACTTATTTTTAGATGAAGCCTGTTTCCTCAATTTTTGAAATAAGCTGTCCGTCTATAATTTTATTAATAATATTTAACAATTAATGCTACAGAAAAAAATCCACCAAGGAAATTATGAAAGAGTTGAACAGGATGCTGAAGGCGTAGGTTGTGCTGATATAAAAATTAGTTCACAAGAGCGGACATCCTTTGAGAAAACGGAGCGTGGGATTTCAATAAGCTTGCCATCGACTTTTCTCTTATCAAATATTCAGCTTCATACGAAACCACGATTAATCAACTCACCATTTGGGCAAAATCCGCAGTCGTCTCCTCTAAATCCTTTGATACCTTTCGGCCCATCAAAGCCATCCAGACCGTTGAAACCTGGATCTCCAGGGAACCCTTTTTATAACAAAAACATTGCAATAATTATTGAGAGCACCTTTATTAAAGGGTTTTCACGTCAAAGTATAAAAAGTCCTTTTATTTTTATTGTTTTAAAAATGCACAATAATCACCAACCTGGTAACCCTGGCTCTCCAGGAGGACCAACGACATTTGCCCCATCTCCAGGCTGGCCCTTTAGTCCTAAATTGAATCGTAAAATTTATTGAATGAAAATGTAAATGGTATTATTTTTTTGTAGCAACTACAAACTTAATGCCGATAATTTTAACAAGATACTTACCACCATCTCCTGGGTCACCTCTGTCACCTTCAAGCCCAATGAAACCGTCGGGACCATCTGAGCCGTCTACTCCCTTTGGGCCAATCACATCCATGCCGATAAATCCTTTCTCACCCTTAGGGCCTGGAATGCCTTCGATTCCCTGCAGGCCCTGAGGTCCAATATCTCCAGGAATGCCTATCAAAAGCAACATATATGTTACAATTTTATTTGCAAAGTGCTTACAAATTATGAATCAAATGCAAAGCAGCAATTGTATTGAACTAGTCAACCAAGTATGGCAGACGTGCAATTAAATAGTAATTAAAAATAATCAAAACAATATTAAAATAGAAAAAAAATTACTTCTTGTTGAGCACTTAAGGAATATATTCCAATTTATTTAAAAAAGAATTGGGATTGACTTACAATATTAAACGTGAAAAACGTACAGCAATGTGTAAAAATAATTTTTGGAATATTTTTTTAAAGAAATAATTACAAACGCCAGCCAGTGAAGTTATAGGCCAGTGCTGATATGTGACTGGCAAGCAAGGCACAGCCGAGCAGGTTTCTTCACTACTACAAACATTTTTAATTATAATATGTATTTACTTTATTGAGTCCTCTCAACCTTAACTTTTAATTTTTTTTCAAAGCACGTCTTCAGTTCAGAGTATACTGATTTGATTATTTTTGTGCAATTCATTTGTGCAGGATTTATGACATTTAATCGTTACTTACCATTGTCACCCGCTTCTCCTTTGATTGAAGTTCCTTTGATACCTCTAAGACCAGGAACACCAGAATCACCGGGTTCACCTGGTGGGCCCTGTATTCCTATTAGACCTTCCATGCCCTTTAGACCGTTAGCACCCTGCAGACCGGGCAGACCTTTTAAGAAGAAAGTACATTTAAAAAACCTTTTTGTCAGTGAGAAACCTTCTTTTTAAGCAGGGTTTTCATCTTTGTGCAAAAAAGCGCATTATAATCAATGAGTCCAAGCATAAATATAATGATATTCAAATTCAATCAACTTCAGCTGCAATAATTCACAAGAAAAATATCAAAGAAAATCTAGTATGAAAAATTATGATATTATTGTATTTATTCTTTTTGTGAAGTTAGTGTAGTAGTTTGAATAATTTTCTTTCTTCGGAGGTTTATAAAATTCATGTACGCATTGGAATTTGATTCCCCCCCCCCCTGTTTTTTTACTGTTTTTTAGATCAATTTGGGAAATAATTTATATTTTATCAAAATGTTCTTGACAATAAACTGTTGTTTTGCAACAGTGCAAATTAATTTAAAATGGATATTTAAAATGCAAGTTTGCAATAGCTGATTAAATGCGCAGCTCCAAAAACTGAAATTTACCAATGGGGCCTTGTGGCCCTGCAACACCAAATTGTCCTTCCTCGTCTAAAAATGGATCATAAATTCCAGGTTGCCCCTCATATCCCTGAACACCAGGCCGGCCCACCCGTCCAGGTTCTCCTTGTTCTCCTTTGCTTCCGTCGAGTCCATCCAGACCCAAATATCCCGGTGCTCCTTTGAAACCCTTAGGTCCGGAAGGACCGATAGGCCCTTCTTTTCCCGTTTTTCCCCTAGGTCCGTCATCACCGTGTGATCCCTTCGCTCCTTTAAATCCCTGCTGGCCGGGATATCCCTGTGGAAGACACAAGCTTGAAGAAATTGCAAAATATTTAAAAGAGTAAAGATGCGTCTGTGAAATTTGTTTTAAATAAAACGGTATAATTAGTTACACAAAATGACAGAAGTATTTAAAATAGTTTCCAAGATACTATAATTTCATTAATTAAGTATATGTTAGTTTTCATTCATCTTAAATTTATTTGTTAAAAAAAAACAACAAACCCTTGGTCCTTGAGGGCCAGTTGGTCCAAATAGGCCTTTCAAACCCTTTTCTCCCTTGTAGCCCTTATCACCCTTAACTCCTTTGAAATTCCTTACAGGTGGATCAATCTCATTATAGTAGATAACTGGACCTGGATCTCCAGTTTCACCTACACAAAAATTATTCATTTTATTAGCAAAAAAGTGTGGAATCTAAAAATTACATTTAATATTAAACAATGATAAATAAAACGTGGTAAACAATAATAATAAGGTATAAATTATGACTCATTGTTATTATTTACCACGTTTTAATAATAATAAATAAAAAGGTATTGACATCGCGCTGCAAAATTTTAACCATAAGTAATAAAGTTGTGTGGGTCGTCGACGCTTCACAAATCCGTATATTGGAAGGAAACATACATATTTGAAAATTAAATTAATTGATTTGAATTATATTTTACCTTTATCGCCCTTGGCGCCTGGCCCACCAGTATTCATGTCACCAGGGTCTCCACTCGGACCAGGTGACCCAACTGCTCCAGGAGGACCCTAAAGATTTTTGCATAATAAACCTATTCAAATCTCCAATCCCTTAAATTCTCACCATGTCACCAACTTCCCCGGGAATACCGGGAAGGCCTTCAAACCCTCTGTATCCTCTTTCGCCCTAAAACAAAACATTGCATCAGTTTATTTTTGATGCAACCAAAGTTTGTTTATTTTAGTTTTGGGCAGCACAAAATATATATTGGACTAAACAACGATGACAAGAGCCAACGCACGTTGAAATTTTGCAGTGGCCGCAATCTGCTCAGCGTAGTGCAAAAAAAGACAACTGCAAAATTAACTCACGTCTAAACCAGCCCTTCCAGGGATGCCGGCTTCTCCCTTGGTGGTTCTTGTGTTGATTCCGCCCTCGCCAGCGTCTCCTTGGGGCCCTTTCATTCCGTCTAGGCCAGGTAGACCTCGATCACCTTCAAAATTCAATTTATTTTAAAACCAATACGCAATTAATTTTATTAAAAATTAAGTTATTTTAATAATAAATGACCACAAACCTCTAATTTTATAATAAGGGGATTAAAAAATATTTATTTAAAACGACCTTACCAGTCTTAAAATTAATACATCTTGCGCTTATGCAAATCAATAGCACCATGAACAGCGCATACTAATTGATTATGAAAACAAAACAAAAATTAAGTGATTTTGGGAAAAAGTTTGCTGAAAATCTTATGTTATCATTAATTTTTTAATAAACAGATGTTTTGGTACCTGGTCTGCCTTGTCGCCCAGGTTGGCCAGGTCGTCCATCAGTTCCGTTGCAACCCGGCAGACCGACTGGTCCAATGGGACCGGCATCTCCGAGCAAACCCTAAAAATAATTTTTTTATATTATCATAAATTTCATTTTTATTCAAAATTAAGAGTGCGTGTGTTGATTATGATTTTTTTAGAATTCTTGTAGGCATTGTTTATTCAACTTACCATCATACCACGTGTGCCCGGAAAACCAGGAACGCCGGTGTCACCCTTAATTGAAATTGTAAAATTTTATCAATAAAATGCATGTAAATTAATCTAAGATTTATCTCCTATATTAAAATTTAAAATAATTATCAGCTCTCATCTATATCGCTAAATATGTATTCAACTCACTCTGTGACCCTTTTCACCCTGCGATCCAAACTCTCCGTAAGCACCCTTTTCCCCTTTCACTCCTGGGGGACCCTCAGGACCCATGTCACCTTTAATAGAATAAACAAAATATTTTAAGGCATGTTTTTAAAACAGATAAATTTAGTTTTGTGAAAATGTCGATATTGATCTGCTTTGAAATGTTAAATTCAATATATTTTTTTAATTTCTGCTCTGCCTATTTTAAAGTGTAATTTTATAATTTACTGATCATGGCAATTGACAGATAGGAAATTATTTGAATATTCAAGAATTTTCACTACTTGAGATGTCGTTGGTAAAGAAAAATGAGCAATTCTTTTGTGGAATTATTGTTGTAATAAAAAAACGTCACTTTCAGATTCGGACAGATTTTTCTTGTCTTGTGATAATTTGTTATTTAGTTGTGCAACTTACCAGGGAGCCCCTCGTGACCTGGCATGCCAGATATACCCTTGGCACCAAGTTCTCCTTTGATGCCGGTGCAATCGCATTTTTCTTGATTAGGTGCGCAACCTTTACAAGCCTGAAACACAGTTATCGAGAGGATGAAATTGATAATTAACAATGAACTTTTATAAAACTGCTTGGACTTAATTTATTTAAGACCAATTAATATTTTTGATCGTTAAATCCGGCTAGTAAAATGAATAATTAAACATATAAACTAAAATTTTACCCATTTAAATTATTGTTTGGATTATTTTTAGAGATGAGATAATTCAGGTAACCATAATCTAAAAAAAAACAATAACTAGTTGCATATAATTTCAATAACTATACAATCCTTCCATTCGAACATTCAAAATTTGAGCAGAAAATGGTTTTAACGTGAAATATTTAATCGCCTGTCAAATAAAAAGCCTACGAAGGTCAAGACAAGTGTTATTGGGAACGAAGCTGTTGAAAATGAAACCGTTCTTAATTTACATGTGTATAGGGGTCTTTCAAAGGGTTGGGCCACGTGCAAAGCGGTCATCGAGTAAACATCCTCCAGTCAGTCAGTCAGCTTGCTGGTTTTAACTGTTTAGATCTGGCCAGCTTTTTTATTAACAAAACCGCCGAAAAGACCCGGCGCGAAAGATATTTCAGGGATGAGTGCAAAGGAAACGCTTTGGCGCTCGGCCAGAAATTGCATTCTCGTGGGGAGTCGAGAGATGCATTTTATTTTTCCTCTTCTCTCATTCGTTTCCAAACACACTCACGCCGCTTTGTATGGCTTTCGTCGCCTTCTTTAACCCTTCCTCGGTGAATTAGATTTAATTTCGAGAGCCAAACTTTCTGTTCCGACCATCTGTTAGCCTCGCGGTTTGTTTTATTTGGCGTCGGGTGCAAGATTATAAATTCACGCCTCGATTTTACGGCCCACTGGACCACACATTTTTCTCACGGGATCTCAACTTTCTGGATCAAATTCTTTATAAACGTGCAGTGAAATTACTTTTAAGAAATAACTAAAAGTAGCATCATAGCCCTCCAATGAATTTATTTGTGATGGATTCCTAAGACTCTAATAATTTGGAAAAAATTTTAAAATAAATTTTTGAGCCACTCAAAACATACTGGTGAGCACAAATTTTTTGATTCATTGGAATTTGTGTATCTTTCAATCTGCTATACTTTTATAGTCTCAACAATAATTAATTCATGATTCCACAGGAGATAAAATTTAAATTTGTGTGCACTCTACAATGTGGCTAAGCCCGAAGCCCCCAGAATGATAATTAGAGAAGAAAGGCGGGCATTGGCCAGAGAGACAATAAAATTTATTGCTTCAATGAGACAATTGCTGGGAGGAATGTTGATCACAATTATCTGACTTCATTCCACTGTTGCCTCAGAAGTGGATGTTCCCTAATTTTTATTTTTTTCACTTGATTTTAAATAATTGGGATAAGAGAATTCATGGCAATTTATTGAGCATATAGAAATTATTGGGATTTTTTACTTAAGAAAATGTTGTTTAAATTGTACCTGTTGATTACCACACCTCTTTTTACAACCTTTAGATCAGCTTTTAATTTACATCTTAAATTATATACGATCGGCTATGCCAACACACTCTTTTTACTTTGTTGAAAAGTCACATCATTGCAATAAATAATGCAATTCTTTGAAAGACGCTCAAAACATCCGAACGGCAGATTATTCATTTGGACCACCGGAAATTGTTATCTCAGAGCAGCTAAGTTCAAACGAGATATAAAGCATTTTTTGCTCTTTTGATGCGCTGAAATAAAAGCGTGAAGTTTTTTCTAGATTGAGTGGTTGACAAAACAGAGCTCAGTGGAGGAATTTCTATTAGAGGACGCTAAAAACGCGCGCGTGCTTTTAACGAGAATTTCTGACAAGCCGACGCTTTTGTTAATTACTCTAATTTGTCGTCAACTCATTTTTTCAGAGTGTAACACTTACATTTTACGAGCTCTTCTGAATCATTACCAAACAGTTTATGTAACTTATGATTGCCATTCGAATTTTTGCAAGATAAAGCATGTGAATCAAAACTATTAAATTTACTTATAAGAAAAACAGAAAAAATATTTGACGTATCCAAAATTAAAAGTTGCAAATTAAGAAAATTAATTTTCTGCGTTTTTGAAACATCAAAAGTATGTTGAAAATATGATTGAAATAAATTTAAAAAAAAGATCAACTTTTAATAAATGTTTTTGAGGGAGAAAATAAATTATTTTAAATTCTTATTAAAACTTAAAATAATATACCCCTTAAATTATTTTATTCCTCCCATTAGTTGCTTTTGAAAATAAATACCAAATGTGACTCTTGTTCCTTTTTATTTTACTTGATCAAAAGTGCATTGGCCTTTCCAAAATGCACAGCGTGCCATTCAACGCCGTTGATGCGTTCTTTTGACTTTTATTGAAAACGGACATATTTATGCGTGTAAGCAGACATAATTTGTGTTTGGAATGGGCTTTCACTTTCATCTAGAAGGCATCGCCTCCAAACAGTTAAGTCATCGCATCCCCTGCATATGCTCAACACATGGCTAGTTCTTTGTTTATATATTCGGTCTCGCCAGCTATAATTTCAAAAAAACTATATAAGCTGAACGTTCATGGTACAGGATCAGATAGTAAAATAAAAGCATCAAAAATAAAGTAGAGAAACCGACGCGATGGTCAACCAAAGAAAAATTCAAAGCCCACGCACTAAAAGACACATTTGCATACAAATCACAAATTCCATCGCAATGAGAAATTTTCTTCCACTTGCAATTAATTATTTTCATGATAAAATTTTTGTTTTTGATATCATTAGTCAGGGTAAGGTGAATATAAATTTGTATATTTAGTATTGTTATTATAAATAATTTTCACAAAAAGTATTTAAAAAAATTAATTTAACATTTAAATGTATTATTTACTTGTATTAATAAGCATTTTTGCGTTTTGGCTTGAATTTGCTAAATAGCTCTTGTTGTTGTTATTTTTTTTTATGAAATTGAGACTTGTTTATGCCTATCTTGGCTTTCAAGCCCCCTTGGCGCGACTGAGAGCACGTGGTACGAAGGCGAGCCACAGCGGAAAGAGTGCCTCTCTTCGCAGACAAAAGTCGACCCAAACGTCGGCGGCGAAGTCAAACAAAATCCTCGAGGGGCAGCCAATAAATTAGAAACACAGTAACCAAAAAGGCAGGCTGCGCTTTGTGACGTCATTCTCGCTAGAGGGGTGGTTTCCTCCCTTTTGCCGTACCTGAATTCTTTGGCGAGGCTCTCATTTTCCCCTGCCTTTTTCACACTGTATCTCAAAATACAACAACAAAGGCGCGTTAACTATGTTTGGCCAGCAATTTGTAGTTAGGTATCAGTCTAATTACAACAAGATTTATAGCCCTATATGAGACTGATAAAAAAAAAACAATGATCCGCTGCTGGACCGCCAGGAATTTTTAAGATCCGAGAAATGAAATGAAGAGATTGTCGGAAAGTCTTCTTTGAATATTATTTAATCAAGCAATTTATATTCAAAGCAGCTTTTTTGAGAAAGAGGATTACAAATCCTTTTCACGCTGCAGCAAGTGCACATCTACCCTTTTTTACTCGACAGGCGGTTCTCTTTCACTTTTATTTTACGATCTTTTTCACATTTGTGTAGGTCGAAGGTGTGGTTGCCAGTAAAATTCTATACGTGCATCTGTCGCCGATGTGCTCAATTATCATCGCTTCCTTTGCCGTTTTCCAGACAATCAAAGAGTTATTGTGGATTACAGGTGTGGAATTTTATTACATCTAATAATATGCAAATAGCGCTTGCGGGGGCAGAGTTTGTTTTTTAAATAATAGAGTTGCATTGATTAAAAAATGCTGGCATCTTAATTTGATAATTAAGTGTTCTGTAAATTTAAAATCACCCAACACACTAACAAAAAATATAGATTTTTTTTTGTTAAATTAAGAAATTTTTCAATCAGAATCTAAATTAATCGACTGGCGCCTCTGACAGAGTGAAAAATAGCTTCCCCAAATCACAAAAGAAACACCATTTTATACCCGCTGATCCTGTCGTTATTTCTTTTGAGACCGACCTTTGCCGCGCTCAACCTTCCTGCAGGTACAAATTTTACAGAACAAAAATGAACAAGGCTATATTTTCATGTAAATGTCGAAAAAATGGTAATTTCACGGCACATTATTAGGGGCGCCGATTCCCGGTGAGAAGCTGAGAATTTATTAAGCTCTTGTATCGGTGGCGAGTGACACGTTTAAGAAGCGCCCCATTGTTCGGGTAGGATGTTTATAGGTTTTTACTATGCCTGTACAGCTACCTCACAACTTACATGACTCAGTTTTAAAAATAATCAACGTAAATAATCATAGAAGCTAAATTTTTTAAATTATGTCGAATAAGAAGATTCAAAAATAAGTAGTAATAATTTACTTATCAAAATTAAAAGTAATTAAACATAGTATAATAATTCTGTTTAAAATTATTTTTATCATTCAACATCAGTTTACCTTTTTATTGCACGTACAATAAAAAATGCAGCTTTTAATTTTACTTTGAATATAATTAACAATATTTTCTAAGCCTGTTTTAAATAATTTTCTTAAATTTAACTTTTATACTGGCTTGCACTTTGAACAATTGTATTCAATTCATTCCTCCAGTTCCTCCAAGACCCAGCACCAGAGGGGAACCCCCTCCAGAGACACCCACCCTCCTCTCCACTGTCCCGAGACGTGCTCCCCTCAACTTCCCCTGAAGAGCATCGTGTCCCGTCTGCATCGACCCGGCGGCACCGAAAATCCAAAAATTTCCCGGCAGAAAGTTTGAAATTTTTATTTGCATTGAATTGAAGGAGTTAAAGGAAAGTTAAAAATGCTTGCAAGACTCACCGCTGCCTCCGCCTGGTGGACGATGAGCACAAAAACGAGGGCAGCGAAGGCTCCGACCTCGATGGCCCTTCTGCACAGCGTCCGCAGGACCATGACGCACCCGTCCGAAGCGACTCTCACTGTGGAAATCGCATCTCCGCCGCGTTTTTCCGCTTCGAAACGCCGAATTCGGAGCCGCCGACGAGCCGCTGGTCTTTGCTTGGTTGCGAAGCTCTGCAGTGTGGTGGCCCAAGTAAAGCGCCCTGCTCACTCGTCCGACCCCCACCACTCGGTCCTCACAGCATCTCCGCGACGAGAACAACCTCTCCTGTGTGCCGTGCCTGCTCTCAAAAGTTAGTCTCAAACAGCGACAAAAATCCAGCCGGTCGGCCGCAAACTCCGAGGCGCTCTGTGATTTTCCGAATTTTCCGGACACCCTTCCAAGTCGTTCGCATTTTCGCCAGTTGAAATCTCCGGAAAATTGCACATTTCACCGACGACGTTGAATCCGACCGGTTTTTTTAAGCTGTCAAGGGTGTCCGGGGGTGTTTCGGGGGCGGGGGCGGCCGGAATTTCGGTTTTGACCCCCGTGCGTGCGTCCGGCGCGAGGGCCTCCATCCGGCGCTCGCTTTGGCTCCGCCCTCGGTGGATGCCGAGACGGAGGCAAGAAGGGCGAGCGGATCAGTCGCCTCTGGTACTTCGAGAGGGGCAGGACGGTGAGAGTGCGCGAGTGCTCGACTCGGACACGATGCTGTGAATCGGCCTCTCGCCGACATGAACCCTTTCGGACATAGACTTTTATATAGCTGTGCCGGCACTTTTTGCAAGTGAGTACCATTTTTTCCGTTTTGCTGGGAAAGTGCATTTTGCCCGTTTGTATGCCAAACGTGACGTCAGTGGAGAACGAAGGGTTGCACCCACACGTGTCGGTGGTGGGGGGAGCCGTGTCCGAGGGTAGGGATTGTTGGGAGGAGGGGAAGGGTCATTCTCATTTAACAATCTCTGAATGAAAATTATTAAATTACCCAAGTACTCGAAATATTTTATTTTCAATTTAATAACAAAATATTTTAAATTTTTCCACAATCATTTTAATAGTTTTGTACTGAATTTTAATTTAACCCTTTATTTTGGGAGAAACTGAGTTTTTAATACAATCTTCAATTTTATGAGTTACTAAAATATTGGGATCTAAAAATGTAATATTCAAATTTAAAAAAAAAAAATTATTCATTCCATTTATTTACTTGAATTTACAACACGGTTATAATAAAGCTAAGAAAAAACTATTTATCGGCTTGTGCACTCTATTGGATTTTGCTTTTTTTTAATTCTTACTTTATTTTGTCACTAATAAATCTCCATCTAGCGTTGAAAACAATTCTCTACAACTCCTAATTAGTGCATTAATTAGCAAATTCAGCAAGCTCTCAGACAATGGTAAAAGTATTGCCTTTATTAGCGACTGGTGGCCGAGTGGGCAATGAGCTGTAAACCGGTTTTGCGCATTTATTGTCACATTATCTTTCCCTTTGGGACAACACACTTTTTAACACACATCCATTCGGCACGATTTTTCAATAAAAAAAAAAAATTAAAATATCCATTGTTATCAATTTAGAAACCAAATTAAATCATGTAATTTCTGTTCGCAGGATGCTTGTGATACTTTTATTCACAATTGCCAGCGTCGGGCACAGTTTAGAGGTGAGTACCAGCAAAAGTGCACATTATCCATCATCAAATTTTTATGGGTGTCGGGTCGGTTCTTTTGCCCGCGCCAACAATAGAAAGGGGAGGTGACCACGGACTGATCCTTTTCATTTCTCTGGACTGACCGTGTTATTGCCGCGGAAAAAGAATTCCTCCCGCGCGAGAGCAGCGGGATAATATAAAGAGCGCCGGAGATTTCAACGCTCGGCGGTGACGCTCCGGGCAGATTTTGCTGCCGAAAACGCGAACAATGAAATTTTTCAGAAATCCTCTCACATTCGAATGTGATGGACCGCGAGATAAAAGTGCCGGCTGGAGAATTTGTCCACGCAAAGGATGTCGAATAAATATATATATATATCGTACAAAACAAACACGCCCGCTCACTGCGCTCGTTTGAGTGGAAATTGTCAATGAGAGATAAATATTTTAAAGTACACATATGCGGCTGGCAAAAATTATGATGTCACTTTTCGTTAAGTCAACAGAATGCTTCCTCTCTGTGAGTCTCTTTCAGCATTATTCGCCGCTTTTTGCGCAAACAGAAATGAAGACATCAATTCTATTTTCATTCCAGTTCAAATTTTAATTCAAATATAAGCGTTTTGAATTATATGTACAAATTTTAGTTACAGGGAATAGTTAAAAATCGGTTGCTGAAAATCACCTTTCTCTTCTTTGAGCACACCACGGCTGTAAAATTTACGATCGGCTCTCTGGAAATTTTAAAACTGCTGCAAGCGCACCGTATAATAATAATAATGAATAGGAATTGTTCTGGAGAGCATGAACGAATGATGCACATCTGCCAAATTGGTCGGGTCCCATTTCGTTGGAATAACCATTTACTGCACACCATAGCCAATTTGTAATGCATGGTACCTCGTTAGACTCGGCATAACTGTGTGGCCGAATGTGTTTGGTACATGCGAGATTTTGAAGCGGCTGAAAGAGAAGGTCGGCTGCTCGACCGCCCATATGGATGGAGAGCAAAGAGGCTCGCGACCGGGAGAAACTTTCAATAGCTGCCTCACAATGCCCAATTTTACTCGCATCTTTACTTTTTAACATCAATAAACTATTTATTACTTTTTTAATCCATTGTAATAAATTTAAAATTATTTAATGCTTATTTCATTTACTGCATACTTTTAATAATTATAATTTACATATTGCTTATTAATTCAGTTTACATAAATTAATTTTCTGCTCTCCTCAGTTTAATTATTGCACAACTTTTAAAGTTTCGAATTGGCTATAAGAAAAAATATTTATAAAATTTGTCTTTGACAACAAACAAATTAAACGTTTCTAAGGTATTAAAATATTATTCTGTATTTTTCAAGAACATGTGACCACATTATTAATACAATCAGTAAACAAATTTTATGAATGGGAAAAGTAATCAAATATCACCAAGTGCAGTGCACTGGCACGCTGACCTCTCTGTACGCCATGTAATCTTCCTTATTTTTTGCGAATGTCATGAGTTCACGCGCACACTTGATTTATCTTTATTATCTTAAGACTTAAGAGGCTGCTTTTACTTAACCTCATTGGGCACATTTTTTGCCTTTGCACTGCATGAAAAACCAAAGGATCACAGCAATTTTCAACTCTCATACCCTTGCTCTAATATTCTCAACCAGACATTGGTAGAAAAATATACCTCCAGAGTTTGTTTAACCTTTTCACCAGACGTATATGCTGACGAGATGCATAGCTAGCGAGCAGTCTTCCAAGAAATCCATAAATAAATCGTTTAATAATGCATGTGTGTGTGTCTATGGGCACACTAAATAAATTTATTGCTCGCCGGCTCGAAAACTCCCTCCGAGGTATAAGAAGAAGACACTGGCTTGAATTATTACGCTGCACTGTTTTATATACCAAAGTGTGCTGGAAAGCCGCTCTCCAGACCGCTGCGGTAATTACAGCATGTAACAGCAGAATTCCGCCGAGAAGCTCTCGCACGTAGATTTTTAAAGAAACCAAACATGGACGAGGAAAACCCTTTTTTAAGACCACCGAGAAGGTCTCCCGAGCTTTTGGCAACATTAATGGGTTTTGCTCTAATCAACTCTTTCTTCGGGAGCTTGAATTAAAAAAAAAAGTGAATATGTCAGCCACCGCACTGGAAATCCATAAATCCATTATGTAAATTTTTAATCTCGTCTCACCACGTCTTGTCCGTAAAAGTAGTGAGTTCCAGTTTTATTGAGAGTGCTTGAGCTCTAATGGAGATTTATTTCGTCTGGAAAAATATGAAAATCTTTTCAAACAGGGTATATTGAAAAGATGTTTTTCTTCTTCTCCTTTTGCTCTTTTTACCGATTTATTTCCATAAATTATTTGTGTCCGTAATCAATGATGCTAAATCGTGAGGAGCTTTTTGCAATCGACGGCGCATTCTCATTTCTTCGCCTCCGCAGTAAATTTCTGCTTAACCAAGTAGCAACTCCCTGTAGCAAGTTAAAGGACGCGAGACAAGTGCATAATTCTGAGAATGACCAGATGCACCAGCAGATTAAGCTCTTTGCATCGCAAGAGGGATTTGAACTGTGAAAGGCATGCCTGTGAATATTTATGGTGCCTGAGATAAAATAACAGTGGAAAAATGGGACTGTGCTTCTTGTTGTTGGAATCCTATACTTTCTTTCCTTGTATAACATATTCTTCTTTCATTTCAACGAGACCAGATGAGCTAGCAAAAGCGATATATACCCCTTTTTGTATGGAGAAGGGCATGTGTCTTACAAAAAATAGAAGAGATGAGTAAAAACAAACATGCCATTCAGTCATCGCCATGTGTGTTTATCAAGTCTAATTATCTCTAATTATAATGTATTGCAATGGTAATGAAGCGTTTCTATTTATGCCTGCGTCCATTTTTTGCTTGAATTTTAATTAGCAACTTAATTTGCAAGGCGTGATTTAGTTTTTTTTTATTTGCATGCTTCTAGGAAATGCAGAATTAATTAACTTATGAAATGACTACTTGTACGAATTATCTCGTTTTTATTTTGCTCAAAAAAGCTCAAAAACCATGGATAAATTTGAAAGTTTTGTCTTCAAAATAATACAATGTATATAAACCGCGCTGTGATTTTTATGACGAGACGCACTGAATAGCTTTCCCAACGTATACAGGCAGGAGAAATACAATTCACATTGTAATTTATTCACTTGTTTCATATTTTTATGCACACACGGTGATGTCATCTGAAACCCACATATCATCCCTCTCAACTTCGTGCTCCGTGATACACAATTCTCTCTTCTTGAATAGCACTTCAGAGTAGAGTAATATAATGCGTTTGACTTCAATGATAGGCATGAAATAAATTTCAAAGTCACTTGAAAATAGATAAAATATTTTTGACGTGATTTTTTTTTATTTAATTGCTTGCTTTTATAATTTTGCCACTTGTCAAACGTTTTTTTATACAGAGCTACTCAGCTTGCCGTTGCTTTTCCAGACGTGAGCTCACTTTGGTTGTATTATCGCTTTTAGAGTTTGGGACGTCAAGCTAATTGAAAAAGCCTCAAAGTCAATGGGAAAAAAATAAAATAAATATCCAACAATCCACATCAATAATTTGCAATTTTCTTATTTTTTTTAGCCATATAGCGGCAGTTTTGAATCTCAGTTAATAAACAAAAAACAATTTTAATCCCTATTTGATTTGAATATCCTCTTTCACCCAATTGCAGTGCCGTTACTTAAATGTTCACTTAAATTTTATTATTTTGTTTGGCTTGTTCATGGCTTTTCATCGCTGGCTTGTTACAGATAGAAAGATTCTCTTGACTAGATTTTTATTACTCCTATTAATTGGCGACGGCGGCTTAAAAAGGAGATCAAGTTAAGTCTCAATCAAAATCTCTGGACGGTCTTGTATATTGTGGCAGGTCTATATGGTCGCGGTAATTAATTATATGATCGTACCAATTCATTACAATTCACTACCATGTATAGCTCAAGTAAAGCGCTCTTAAGCACAAAATCAATCAATTTCACCCGTCAATGATGGGAAATTATGAGCAACGACCGGCGAGTAATTGCGACAAAAACCAGTTCATTTATCATTCTCATCGCGGCCTATTTCTATCGTATGGATTAAAATGTGCCGTGCACCGGCTGGGAACAAAAATCGTAACAGGTGGTCTCGAAAAGGGTTAAGCGAAAGGGACTTGCGTACAAAATTCTTAGAAACGTCGTTTTTCACATCCTTGGAAACGGAAAATCGTAAAGTTAAAATGAAAGTCATGTTTTTTTATTGTCTCTCTTCCATCAATATGCTAAATTTCTAATTACAAATTTTATTCCCTTTCTAAAAATAAATCTTTGAAAATTTAAATCTTTCAAAATTGGATCAGATGATTCAAGTCGTCGACACCCGCTTTCCTTATTACTTATTGTGCCGTTTGCCTTAAAAGGAGCTGTTTTGCGTACGCCTGAGCGCAGTTGCACAAGCGAGAGATCTCTTTATTATATTTATGTGCCAGTCACACACACACTTGCAGCATTCACGGCGGCTAAATGACTGCTCGGCCAGACATTAAAGTGTTGTGGTTATTGCTTCTTTGGACTTTTTTCTTTGCGGCAGCCGCGATGGGGCTTGATTATTATAAAATGAGAATTTCTCATAATATGTTGCATTTGATCCCGCACCACTTTCTGTCACAGATGACGGCTCTGGAATGAGAAACAGCTGTCCCGTCTCCGTACCAAATCTTTATTCAATCTGCTTTGGATATATATTTAATGGTTACTTATTATTCAAACCAAATGCTTATTCAATTCAAACTGAAGTATTTGTCTAGAGACATAAAAAATTGATTAATTTAACTGTGAAGAGTGCTCAAAGTGATCTCAGTTTGTGAGTCAGAGCATGGAAAGTTTCAACCTCAAGATAATCAGAGCCGCAGACTTTTAAATTGAGTTGTTTTTCCTTTTGTGAGAACGCCGCAAATTAAATTCATATGCGCCG